GGATGAGTTATGTTGAATTCCAAAACACCATTGTGTTCTGATATACCTGTTCAGTAATATAGTCATCTGTGTTTTAATGTGGAAGTACCTGCAAGTCACCCCGTGAGACCACAGGCCCTGTGACAGATCTCCTAGAAGAGTAGTGCACCTTTCTGTTGGCGTAGTCCTGGGGGCTCTGGCTCTGCTATGGACAAGGCTTGCTGACATTCACTGGCCTTGCTTGACTCAGAGCCTGGGGAGAACTTTCACGCTCAAGTTTCGCTATGTAGGTTTAGCCGTGAAGACACAAAATGTGAACAGACCACTTTTATAGTTTGACATTTTTCTAACTTTTTCTTTCAGAGATCTGCTTCAAAGTGTCCATTTTCACTCTCAGGGTGAACTCTTAGATCTTTTCCTTTTCATTTTTATCAGAGACCTTTTAGCGGCAGGGACCCAAATTTGTATCCCAGTCCCAGCAGAATACCTGATCCCCATCATCATTCAGATGGTAGATGAGTCAAATGTTAGCTGATTGTGTTTAGAAAGATGATGGCTTGGCTTGGTTTCTGTGTTGCTACGTGATCTTGGGCAAGTCATTTTCTTTTTTTAATTGGAATTTCATTATGTCACCCAAACTGGAGTACAGTGGCACACTCACATCTACCAGAGCCTTGACCTGCTGGGCTCAGGTATTCCTTCCACCTCAACCTTCCAAACAGCTGGAATTATAGGTACGCACCACCACACTTGGCTAAATTTTAATTTATTTTAGAGATGAGGTCTTGCCAAGTTGTCCAAGCTGATCTCAAACCTCTAGGTTCTGGCAGTCCTCTCGCCTCCATCTTCCAAAGTGCTGGAATTACAGGTGTGAGCCACTGTGCCTGGCAAATCATTTCTTGGAATTCAAAATGTGGGTGCTACCTACTTTATAGCAGTCTGGGAACTGTGTTCATTGAAATAAAAGTGATGTTCTTCCGGAAACAATTTTATATTTGTATTTGGCATTGAGATGCTCTAAATCTGAGCCATTGGCCTTTTGGCTGCTTCAGAGAATAGAATAAGAGATAATGGGACATGCCCACATACTCAGTGCTCCCATGGCTGTAGGCCAGAACACTGTTAAGTCTTAAAGCCATTTAGATAAGTTCCCAAGGTCCTACTGAAGTTTGCTGTGACCTGGCTATGCCTGGCAGATATTAATGGGAAATTGTTTTTTCACGTTACCCTGAGTGAGCAGTATTATAATTCAGGGTCTAGATTTACTTCTTTAAAAAAGGCAAAAAATATTCTTTTATTTTGGAATAATTTTAGACTTGTAGCATAGTTGCAAAAATTGTCAAAAAATTCCCATTTCTACAAGCCATTCACTCAGCTCCTACTAATGTTAACATCTTACATGGCCATAGTACAAACATCAAAACCAGGATATTTACATTGTTCAGTATTACTAAGTAAACTGCAGATCTGCTGGCATTTTCACCAGCTTTTCCTCTTATGTCTTTTTTTCTCTTTTCCTTGGTCTGGGCCAGGATCCTGCATTGTGTTCACCTGTTTCCTTGGTCTCCTTTCATCTATGACGGTTCCTCGGTCTCTCTTTGTCTTTCCACCCTTAATATTCTCAAAGAGTATTGGTCTGTGTTTTGTAGGCCCTCGCTCAGTGAAGGTCTGTCTCATGACGCCTTGTGATTGGTCTGAGGTTGTCATTCTGGCCATGCCACAGAGCAGTGTCATGCCCTTCTTGGCGTCATGTCAGGGAGACCATCATGTCGGGGAGAACATCATGTTGGTGTGTACTTATTTACTGCTGGTGATGTTGACCGTGACTGTTCAGTTGAGGTGGGGTTTGTTGGATTTCTCCACTGGGAGGTTCCTGTTTTTCTTGTTATAATTAATAAAGCTCTTGAGGGAGATAATTTGAGAATATGTGAAACCCATTTCTCCTTAAGCTTTCACCCACTCCTCTCAGCATCCATCAGTAGACCTTGCTGCAGGAGCTTTTGCTGTGGTATTTACCTAATGGTGATCTTCTAGTTCCCTCATTCCTTCTCCATTTACTAATTGGAATTATTCTGCAAAGGAAACTTGTGACTTCTCCCTGTTTTAAAACGTTTGTCAATTATTAGCATGGGTTTGTGGATAGTTATTGTACTCCCTGAATTCTAAATCCAGTGACCCATCATTGACTCTTGCTCCCAGTGTTCCAGCCTGGCCATCGGGTGCTGCTTCCTAGCCGCTCCTGTATCCTTTAGACATGCCCCATCCTTTTTCAGGCACTTCCTATCTGGCACCACAAAATGCTCCAGACCCATTTTGTATTTTCTCTGCTTCAGCTCTGGAAGCAGCCACTCCTTCACAGAGCCCTGGATCCTTTTAGTGGTTATTAAATTGATTTTCATCTGAGGTGCCAAGGCAATTTAACGGGGAAAGAAAAGCCTAAAGCAAGTGCTGCTGGAACAACCAGTTATCTATGTGGAAGACAGTGAACTGTGACTCATACCACACACAGAAATTAACCTAAATGTTCAGAGACCTAAGTGTAAAAGCTAAAGCCATAGCATTTCCAGAAGAGAGCTTAGGGGAAAAAAAATCTTTGTAACATCAGTCTAGGCAAAGACTTTCTAGAAGGACACAAAAGCATGACTGTAAAAGCAGGAAAGGGTATACTGGAATTCATCAAAATTAAACACTTATGTTCTTCAAATATCCCATTAAGAAAATGAAACGGGGCCAGGCACAGTGGCATACACTTATATCCCAGTTAGTTGGGAGACTGAGTTGGAAAGATGACTTGAGTCCAGAAGTTTGAGGCTACAGTGAGCTATGATTGCACCTCTGCACTCCAGCCTGGGCGACAGAGTGAGACAGTTTCTTAAAAAAAAAAAAAAGAGAGAGAGAGAGAGAAGAAAAGAGAAGAAAAGAAAATGAAAAGGGAGCCTACATGTGTGGGGAAAAAAATATTCATAATATGTCTAACAAAGAACTTGTATCCACTAAATATAAGATTATTATAATTCAATAAGAAGACAGTAAAGCTAATTTTTAAAATGAGCAAATCACAGAAGAACATTAGATCGTCATAAACACACAAAGATGCTCAACATCGTTAGTCTTCAGGGAAGTGCATACTTTTAAAATGGCTAAGATGAAAAAGGCTGACACCAAGAACTGACAATAATATCAAGCAATTGTTATGCTAATTGGAATGCAAAATAATAGAACAGTTTGGAAAGCAGCGAGGTATTTTCTTATCAAGTGAAATATACCCTTACCATATAACCCAGCAATTCCATGACACAAGCCCACAAAAAAAGATATGTTCTTGACCAAATACATGGCTCATACCTGTAATCCCAGCATTTTGGGAGGCCAAGGTGGGAGAATTGCTTAAGCCCAGGAATTCAGACAAGCCTGGGCAACATAGCAAGACATAAAATTTTAAAAATTAGCCAGATATGGTGGCATATGTCTGTTGTCTCAGCTACTCAGGAGGCTGAGGCAGAAGGCTTGCCTGAGCCCAGGAGGTCTAGGCTGCAGTGAGCTGTGATTGTACCACTGCACTCCAGCCTAGACGACAGAGTAGACTCCACCTCAAAAATAATAAAAAAAAAGACTTGTCCTCTAATATTCACAATAACCAAAAACTTAAAGCTACCCAAATGAGCATCAGCAAGTGAATGAATAAACAAATTCTGTACATTCATATAATGAAATACTACTTAGAGATAAAAAGAAACAGGGCCAGGCATGGTGATGCATGCCTGTAGTCCCAACCACTTGGGAGGCTGAGGTGGGAGGATTGCTTGAGCCCAGGAGTTCAAGGCTGCAGTGAGCTGTGACCTCACCCCTGCACTCTAGCCGGTGACAGAGTGAGACCCTGACTCAAAAAGACAGAAGAAACGAATAACTAATGCAGTCAACAACATGGATGGATCTCAGAAACCTTGTACTAAGCAAAAGAAGTAGTTTGGAAAGCACATACAAGGGAGGACCCCCCAACACAGAATTTATTTATTAAAAATGCTGTATTTATTCTTACCTGTTTAAACTTGTCACCTTCAAAGTACTTTCCACCTGATGCAATACACCTATTGAGAAACTTCTGCCACTGTTCAAAACGGTTTGATGCCTTTTAGTGCCTCTGACAATTTTTTTTTTTTTTTTTTTTTTGAGTTGGAGTCTCACTCGGTCGCCCAGACTGGAGTGCAGTGGCCACTCCCGGCCACCGCAGCCTCGACCTGCTGGGCTCCGGCGATCCTTCCTCCTCAGCTTTCCAAGTAGCCAGAATTACAGGCGCGCGCTACCACGCCCAGCTAATTTTTTGATTTATTGTAGAGATGAGGTCTCGCTGCCCAGGCGGGTCTCGAACCCACGGGCTCAGGCGATCCACACCTCAGCCTCCCAAAGGCGCGGGATGACAGGCTGAGCCACCAAGCCCGGCTGCTTCTGACAATTTTTGTTTCACTTCTTGCAAGTACCTTTTTCGTCTGGGGAGACAGAAGAAAGACGCTCTGGGTGAGATCAGGAGAACAGAGAAGGTGGGGCCCAGAGGTCATGCCATTTTTAGCCAAAAACTGCTGAGCTCTCAGCACAGTGTGGGCAAGTGCATTGTCGTGGTGGAAGAACCAGTCACCTGTTTGCCACAACTCGGGCTATTTCTTCTGCAAATAAAAATCGTGATGCAACCTTCTCAAAACTTCCAGTTGAAAACTTTGGTTGATCATTTGATCCAGGGAATAAATCCCAAGTATAAGGGGCTTGCCCTCCAAACGATAATTTGGTTTTTTGGGGTCCCCCCCTCGTATTCTTTATGATTCATTGTCTATGTCATTCTAGCACAAGCAAAACCAGTATCTTAGTGACAAGGAGCGCATCCAAGGTCCCCGGCCATGGAGCGTGGGGTGGAGACTGGCGTGAGGCCTCATGCTGCCAGTGACTCCCGGGCTCTGTCGCCTCAGTCTCCCTGTGTGTTGTAGTCATCCTGTGACTTCCTTCATCATGTGTCCTGGCTTTGTTTTCAGGTGGATCTATCTCAATGACCAGAACTTATGTATTCCCGCCAGTTCCTCTTTCGTTTATGGAGCTGTACCGATAGGAGCCAGCATCTATGTCATTGGAGACCTTGATACGGGTAAGAGCGTGGTGGTGGTTGTGTTGGAAGTGTTCCTTGCTGATTCGGAGACACACTGTCTCACGTGCTTGTCTTTGTGGCTTAGGTACCAATTACGACTACGTGCGTGAGTTCAAGAGGAGCACAGGCACCTGGCATCACACTAAGCCCCTCCTTCCATCCGACCTCCGCCGCACAGGGTGTGCAGCCTTACGTATTGCAAATTGTAAGCTCTTCCGTCTGCAGCTTCAGCAAGGCTTATTCCGCATCCGAGTTAATTCCCCTTGAAGAGGGAGCCAAATGGGGAGCGAGGTCCTGACCCAGGAGCGCTGGGACATCCTAGCTTTACATGAGGGGAATGGAGACAGCAGCTGGAACTGACTGTGCTGGGCTCTGGTATGATCACTCTGGGGTGGGCCTATGATGCTTACGAACTGGCGCTTCAGCTCGTGTTTGGGAAAACACATAACAGTTGAATAACTACCCGGGTAAAATCAGTTCCTCCAGTTAGATGTGTCTGTAGACAATGGAGGCTGGTAAATATCAAAAGGAAAGGGGAGTGGGAATTGGTATCATGTAAAATATCAAAGTGAAAACACTGAGGTGTATTTTCCCAGATGGGAAGGCATTTCTAACTAACTGCTATGTTTAAGTACGTGGCTTTGGTAAACACACACAAAAAAATCCATATATGCAAATCAACATATCCAAACATGCCAAGATTGCTTTTCTACCGCATTTGGAAGGAGATATTATGCCTAACCCTGCCCACCAAGTTAAGGTTTTTGCCTAAAATGTTAGATTGGACTATATTCAGTTAGTCTCCATTATGACTAGTACTCTGTTCTAAGAATCTTTGAAAAACTATATTATGATGAATTGAAATGAAGATACAACTTCTCTTTTACAACATTCTGTCTTAGTAATGTAAAGATTCAATCAAGCGATGAGTCAGGCCTCAGCCCTCATGTGAGCTTGAAGGAAGTTGCCAACTTCTTTGCTAATTTCGATTAGGACATGTCACCTGTCCTTTCTTGGGTGGAACCTGTGGAGCTGGGGGGATTTTACGCTGTGCCATTCTGCCTTTTCAACTGAGCAAAATCATTTTATAAGTCTGAGGGTGGTAGTGAGTAGGAGATTTTATATAAGAAAGATCTGAGTCAGACAAACAAAGGTCTGCTGAGCTACAAAAAAACCTGTCCAAACAAAATGTATAGGGATCAAATCTTTTTAATATAATCTGCCTGAAAGCACACAAAGTCTTGTTTACTACTGTTTAGGATTCAAGAACAGTCTTGGAATGCAAATCTGTGTTAAGAATCTAGTCCTTGTAATAGAATTTTCCCAGTGCCATGCACTAGTAAGAGTTTGCAAATGATGTTGCAAGTATAGTTTGGCTGGTAGAATAAACTACCTCAACTTAATTTTATTCTGTTCATAGTAGAGCAAATTAACCTTTTCCTCTTTCCCTCCATTCCCCTCTCTTACTCCCACCTCAACCCACTCTACCCAACTTTCCACTGGGGAAAAAGTCTTTCCTTAGTGGAATTTATCTTGTAAGATATTTTGTCTTCCACTCCAGTTATACCACCATAGTGTGAAATCGGGGACTGCAAAGTGCTTGATTACTGTATAATTTGAATTTTATGCAAATCAAATTTATAATCAATTTAATATAGAGTACTTCATTTTTAATTGTTTTCTACAGCTTTATTTTCCTCTTAAGACTGGCTATAAGAAGCAGCATTTTTGTCTTAGTGATTAATACATGTATACATGTATCCTTTGGTTGTAAATTTGAGAACAGAATTTCTTCTAGAAACTTCCTATATGGAACATTTGCATGCTATTAACATGCATATATAACATCTCTGTGTTCTTCCACCCACAGACGTAGAAAAGGGTAACCTAACTGCGATTTTTATTTCTTACACCTGCTGGAAGTCAGTACAGTACTACAGAAGTTGCTGAAAGAGGTTGTGCCCTGGGGGTTCTAAGGAGTATTGTGTGTGGCATTAGCTCTCCATTGTGGCCGCAGGATAGGTGGTAAGAGAAGTTTTAAGGTTCTCACCCTTACAGGCCAGAGGCACTCGACCAGATGCGCCACACAGTCATGGACTCCAATCAGATTTGCTGCATCACTCCCACCCAGGCTTAGAAGTGTACAGTGTACCAGTTAACTGTTGTCTGCACATTTTCCCAATGATACTTTGGATATCTTTTAATCAAAGCAAACTGTGTGGCCTCTTCAAAGGAAGATAGATTTTCTTTTTACAACTAGATACTAGTTTTAGAGGAAACAAATCACTGCTTTGGTGAAGTATCCTGTACAGCAGTACCTCGGCATTCAGCAGCTGCATTTGGGAACATTCAAGTAGTCACTGACATCCTGTGAAAGCCACGGTCGTCAGCAATTCTCTTTTTTTAATTTCTGACATTTAAAGTTTTTTCCAGTCTACATCAGGCCTCTCCAAGGAGACAACTCATTATTTAGGAGTGAATGGCTTCCTGTTGCAATATTATCAGTACCTGCATGACTGGGTAAATTCATTTCATAGAAATCATGCTTTTAAAAATAAATTCAGTTCATTGACACTGTAGCTGCAGAAATTAGATAATGTTTTATAAAATAAATTTGCCACATAAATATAAGATGCAATAACTAACAAAAGCTGCTAAGTGCCAAACTATTATTTTACTATATATCAATATTAGAATATTGTGTTGGAGTATAGGAATGTATTTACTTTTATTATGTTCCAAAATTAATCATGGTTCTTTTTGTAAATTACAATTATTTCAGTATTGTGGAATAAATTTTAACTCATTTCATGCAGGTTTCTTTTTGAACATTCCACTTATGCCTTGAAACATCATTTCTTATAAATTTTTGCTATTTCTTTCTCCATAAGGCACTTTGACCAGGTGTATGTTGGAATTGGTGGCTCAGGATACGTCTTGAAATTTTAAATACAAATGTCCTTGGGAGAAGTGCAATTTATTTTCAGAAGGAAAGTTGACTCAGGTTAGAGTAAGTGAATATTTAAAGAATTTCTCCTAGGCTACCGTCTAAAATAGGTTTGTTTGTTTGTTTCTTTGTTTAATACATCCAAATATAGAATCTTTGTTTTCAAAGATTTAAGTGTTTAATTTAAAATGAAGTTGGGTTTTTTTTTGGTGTGTGTGTGTGTTTGATAGTGTGTATATCCTGTGAGAAGAAAAAGTGTGAGGGATGAGTGTGTGTGTGCATGTTGCACTGTATGACTTGATACGCATGTTTGTATGTGTTTCCTTTTTGAATTGTAGTTCTGAACTACATATATTACTGTCTCCTGGTGCTTCCGATAAATTCTTGAGCCTGTTGACCTTCAGTTTATACTACTGTGTTCAACTCATATTGAGTGTAAATACTGAAATATTTGTAGTTTATAATAAGTTTTACTTGGTGTTTGCATTTCTCTTCTTTAGCAGGATTAAAAACGGTGTTTACCAACTCATAGTTGGTATACTGTCGAGATTTGGCCTAAGAAATCTCTAAATTCCTTGTTTGGCTTAGTATTTCATTGCCATGAGGAGTTGATAGTAGTAGGCTTCTTGCAAACTCTTAACAACCAAAAAAGAATCTTTGGGGATGTGTTGGATGTGCTATTGTTTGTAATGAAGAGTTCTATTATATTGCACTACCACTTTAATGATGGTACTTTCTTCATTGAGGGTTTGAAAGTGTCCTTTTATAATTTATAAAATTGAGGGGATTCCCTAGGCAATGTATAGGAAGTATACTCTTTGTATCGACAAGGTAGAGATAGGACTGTCTTTGCTGTGGCTCCTAAATTACTCACGAGTAGCAAGTTAGGTTTCTAGAGAAATGTCTTGGCTACCTTGGCCCATTAGAGTTCCATTTGGTACATTTCTACCTCAATGTACCAAGCCAGGGATTCCAAAAAGCCTTCCAAGGAGTGCTGGAAACACTGCGGCATTACCTTCTAGAACACTGGCTCTCTTGATCAAGAGACCTTCTGTGGTCACCTGGAGACATTTGATGATTTGGGAAGAGAATAAGGTGGCATTCTCAATCTGTCGATTTAAGGTGCTAGAACCCCTGGGAATCCCCAGGAGCAGGGAAAGGCAAGGCTGCCCTTTCTCAGTAGCTATCCCCCAGCACAGGAGCCTGGAAGCTGCTGGGTCGGGATCAGCAAAGCCTGCCCAGGGTGTGCCATCGAGCACCTGCTAGGGATGTGCTACTGTTCTGGGTGCCTCACAGTGAGTCATGCCATTCCAGCCTCCCTCTTGAGATTGTCAGGTCAGGTGGGATGGGCAGGGGCCCTGTCTATCATCTGCCAATCAGCCTTTCATTTTATAGGTGGTCAGCAAGTGTTTGACAGATGAATCTGGTATCCTTGTGGGCAGTGTTCTTCACTGGATTGGAAAGTGCTTGATATTCTCCTTTAATAAAAAATGCTCCCCTGGAGTAACTGATTTTGCTGGATTTTGAATGAGAACATTTTATCCAGATGGACTGGCTTCCTATATGGAGCAGAAACTAGTATGGATTTAAAAATGCAAGTGCCTGTCGTACACAATGTACAATTCTGTGGTCTCCACATGTCCTATTGGAGTTTGGGGACCCTATGCTCCTCATACCTGATAACGCAGGTCATGTTTCATGTTGGATTTTACTTATTGCCTTTTGTATGGGGCTCAGAATTTTTTCCAGGATATACTGCTCTGATCCTCACATCTCTGGGATAGGCGAGGTGCTTTCCCATTATTCAGAGAATAACGACCATCAAGGCCCAGAGGATATGGCATCGTTTCTCCCTTTAGATGTGAGTAGAAGCCAAAAGCAGAAGCTGGGTCTGTAGATTGGTCAGTTCCCTGGTCAGCCTCCTTGACTCAAACATGAGTTTTCTGGGCCTACAAGTACTTTAAATCATAAAATAATCATTTGTAGTACAATTTAACTCCCAGACGTTTCCTTTGCCAATTTCACAGACAAGCACTGAAAGATCTTTGGTTTTCTTTGTTAGTTAGCTATAGGAAATTAAAGAATTTGCTAAGGCCATGAGAACAGAAGTATTTTGTTTGCAAAAGAAAAGCTGTTTTTACTTTCAGAGAGCTGAAACTTTGTTTATACTTCTCTCTCTTACCTTAAGTCATTGGTAAGGAAAAGAAACTATTTCTTAGAATGTTGAGGAAAATACTTTGATAGCTCTTTATTTTTCAGAAGTAATTCCATTGTTATTTCAATTGTAAACATATCTTAACATTGTCTTGTTGTAATAGTTCCATTTATGTGATATATAAGGAGTTCAGCCACATTTCCAAATTTCTTTGGTCTAATGTAGTTTAGAAAATTTGTTCTTCTTCAATTCTATTATTGAAGTTTTACAAGTGGTTGGATTTTTAAACTCCTTCCCTCTCTCATGAAATCAAATATCTTTTATTTATTTATTTATTTTTTTTTTTTTTTTGAGTTGACATCTCACCCTGTCACCCAAGCTGGAGCGTAGTGGCACAATCATAGCTCACCACAGCCTCGGCCTCCTGGGCTCAGGTGATCCTTCCACCTCAGTCTCCTCAGTAGCTAGGACTATAGACACATAGCACTATGCCCGGTGTTTTTGTTTGTTTGTTTTTGTAGAGATAAGTGAGGTCTTGCTATGTTGCCCAGGCTTGTCTCAAACTCCTGGATTCAGACAATCCTCTCGTCTCTGCCTCCCAAAGTGATAGAAGTGGGCATGAACCATCATACCCAGCAAAATCAAATATCTAATAAATAAAACTATCATATGATTATTTAGTCAGAAATGTCTGTTGTCTTTTCTTTTTTATTTTGAGATAAAAACTCATCTTTTAAGATGGCTGTGCATCTGAAATTTGGTCTCATTCTGCATTTTGATTTTATGTCCTCATGGCTCAACAAAGTCATTGTGCATTCATCTCTGCAGACGTTGGAAGTAAACCATGAATTGTAAATTCTTCAATCACTGGCTCGGCTCAAAGAAGGTGTGAGTAAGAAGAGGATGACAGTCCACAGAGTTTGGGGACATACTGTGTAAGATGAGATGGAGAACAGTTAGCCAGTCAACAGGATTCATGCACAGAAATGGCCATCTCAAACCATTGAAATCCCAAGTGTAGTTTCATCTTCTGGTTGGTGAATTATATTTATTAGGACTGTATCTTTAATATTTCAGTACAAATAGTAAGTTTAGTTAGCTTATTTTTATTGATTTTACTCATCAGTTACGAATAAAGTGGACTTTAGAACCTTGGGTTAAATTTTTTCAGGTTATACCAGTGAGCTTGGTTGAAATATGACTATAGTAGCTTGCTTTATCAAGTTTTCTGTTTAATTGGATGAGAATTATATGCATTTATTCCCTTGTTCTTTATGTTTATAGGAAAACCTCTGTTCTCCACTACCTCATTATGTAGTGTTGTGCTTGATCCCCTGCCAGTTGAGAAAAATTCAACACATTCTGTTCTTTAACAAAAGCCTGGAAGCAAGCAGTAAGCGGCCTTGATGAATATAGTTTCTAAGGCCTGTTTTCCATTTTACTACTTTTTAAAAATAGGCACTTTTATCAGGAGGAACAATAATTCTCCTAGAGTTGCTGCAAAGTGATTACTTGAAACTGAACTTGAACTTTAAAGAGTCTTTAAAAGGTATGTTGGGTTTTTTTTAACGCAGAAAAGTGGTATCTTTAAACCTCACTGCTGTGTAAAATAGAGGGCTAGGTTTCCATCCTTGTTGGGATCAGACAGGAAAATGTATCTTTCTGTAATTTGACCCAGTGTCAGATTTGGAATTTAGATGCTTGAGACTACCATTTTTCCGTTTTCTAGAAGGTGCTATTGCTTCCCCAGAATCTTTAATTTTGATGAATATCTATACTCTGTAAGTTCCTCTTCTCTTTAGTTCTGAAATTCATGCTTATTCAGAACTAAGCACTGGAAGCATCTTCTGAGTGCCGAGTTGAGGCTGGCTGAACCACATAGGGTTGCTTTATACTTAAAACCATGAATAGTCTCATTGGTTCCATGTGCAGATGGGACATCCCCCACCTTCCTCCTGCACATGCCTTCTCCACATCGTTCCATGCTCCTCGTGTCTGTCAATCTACCTGTTGCCAAGTCAGGAGGAAGGAACTGAGGAGGCTTTGTCAATGGTAGGCAAGCTTTCCCTTGCGAGAGTTATTTCTCATAGGAATGACCCAGTTTCGTACCATAGTCCTACATGGCCTGCTTAAGTGGAGGACTTCAGTGATCCTTAGTGGTCAAAAGCGTTACACCCATTCCTAAAAGCCTACACTTGGTATAACTTAAGTACCATGCAAAATCTAAAACCGAACTGTCCTTATGCATCAATAAGATTTCATTTTTGTGCTTATGCTCTTCAGAGTAAAGGGCTTGCACCTGGGTGCAAAGGGTGGTAATGCTTCTCCAGTGACAGTATGTGAACACCCTGTTGATTTAGCAGCAGAACACGAGGCATTTCCTGGAAGCAATTTTCATGAGAACCAAGGTTTACCCCTTAAACTTAAGCCCCAAACTTTCTTACTTGAATTATTTTGAGGAAATCATCTTTAAAGATTTTATATATATTTCTGAGCTAGCCCAGCAGTTAAGAGCATAGGCTTTGATATCAGGTATATCGTATTGAAGACTTCTGTCACTTCCTGCTCTGTGGCCTGGGAAAGCTCTTGAACCCTGACACTCAGTTTCTTGCCTGTAGAAGAAGAGGAGCAGGAGTGTTTACCTCTGAGGCAAGGTGAGGATTAGTGGGAGTGATACCTGTAAAATCTTGAGATGGTACCTCGCACACAGTGGTGGCCGCTCAT